TAGAACAGTGACGCCTCTATGGTGTACAGCAGGCATGGGCAAATTTTGGCCCATGTTTTGGACTTCAACTCCCACCATTCCTAACAGTGACTATTAGGAATTCTGGGACACCAGGAGGGAGGGACAAAGTTAGACCATGCCTGGTGTACAGAGTAGTTTCCCACCTGAAACTGAGCTAAGAGACAGAAAAGGGGAAATAGCAGGATGGCAGGTTAAGACACGAACCTGGGAGCTGCTTTTCCGCAGAGCTTGGCCTTCCTCACAGCCCCTGAATGTCTTTCACTCCCAGCAACCCAACCGAAGGTTCTGTTCTGCTTTCTGGTCAGACCTCACCTGGAATAATGGTGTGTACAGTTCTGGGCGAAGCAATCCAAGATATAGATACGGACAAGCTAGAAAGAAGGGCGACTAAAATGATCAAAGGTCTCGAGGCCAAGGCCTATGGGGAGTGGCTGAGGATGTGACCCTGGATAAGAGAAGGCTGAGGCCTCTTCTACACTATCCTTATATCCCAGGTTATCCGCTTTCAACTGGATTATATGAGGGTCCTTCCAGAGAGGCCCTATATCCCAGGATCTTATCCCAGATTTTCTACTTTAAACTGGATTATGTGAGTTCGCACTGACAGACAGCCTGGGATAAACAGAAAACCTGGAATCAGATCCTGGGATATAGGGCCTGTCTGGGAGGGCCCTGAATCTCCATTGCCATATAATCTGGGATAAGTAGGGTTTTTTTTCCGTGTCAGGAGTGACTTGAAAAATTGCAAGTTGCTTCTGGTGCTTATATCCCCAGAAGATCCTGGGATATAAGGACAGTGTAGAAAGGGTGTGAGAGGAGGGGACATGAGAAACAGGTTTAAACATTTGAAAAGATGTCCCATTGAAAGGAAGGCAAGGTTCCGCTGCTCTGAAGACACAACGGAATCATGAATTCAAACTGCAGGAAAAGAGACTCCAACTGAGCATTAGGAAGAACTCACTGTTAGTAAAATATGCTTCCTTGGTAGTCTCCTTCACTGGAGGTTTTTAAGCAGAGGTTGGATGGTCATCTGTCAGGAGGGATTGGATTGTGTATTCCAGTATGGTCTCATCTACACTGCCATTAAAGTGCAGTCTGAATTATCTTATATGGTCAATGTAGGGGCTCAAATAATACAGTTCAACTCAACTGAACTATTTTATATAACTCTAAACCAGCCATGGGCCATCTTTGGCCCTCCAGGTGTTCTGAACTGCAACTCCCAGTTTCTTCTGGGAATTGTGGGAGTTGAAGTCCAAGACACCTGGAGCAAGGAGGTTGAAGTTTGCTCATGCTTGATCTACACTGATTGTAGTAGTAGTGTAGATGGGGCCTATCTCAGAAACTGAGTGGCCTTTGGGATCTCTTTCAACTCTAGTATCTTAGGAAACGGAAGTATTATTGGCCATTATTATTAATTGTGATTTTTGTTGTTGTTTATTTAGTTATTTACCTCACTTGTATACTGCTTTTCTCACCCCAGGGGGGACTCAAAGCGGTTTCCAATGTATTTATGGCAAAATTTAATGTCTCACATACATATGAAACCTAACATAAAACAACAATAACATATAACTATCAATTAGTTATCATGAAAACGTAACATTTGGAAATTAAAACTGGAGTTAAAAACATATTCATGTGAACATTAAAATCACATAATAAAAAAATAGTAGCTAGATAGCAAACTGGTAGACAAATAGATACATACTTAGATATAAACATACATATGGGGGTTGGTCTGGATGACCCTTGGGGTCACCTCTAATTGTAGGATTCTATTATAGATAGATAGATAGATAGATAGATAGATAGATAGATAGATAGCAAATTGATAGAGATAGATTCATACATACATAGATCAAAACATACATATGAGGGCTGGTCTGGATGGCCCTTGGGGTCCCCACTAATTGTAGGATTCTATTTTAGATAGATAGATAGACAGACAGATAGCAAATTGCTAGAGATATATACATAGATATTAATATGAATATGAGAGTTGGTCTGGATGGCCCTTGGAGTCCCCTCTAATTGTAGGATTCTATGATAGATAGATAGATAGATAGATAGATAGATAGATAGATAGATAGCAAATTGATAGACAGAGATAGGCTGGTCTGGATGGCCCTTGGGGTCCCCTCTAATTGTAGGATTCTACTTTAGATAGATAGACAGACATAGCAAACTGATAGACAGAGATATATACATAGATATTAATATGAATATGAGAGCTGGTCTGGATGGCCCTTGGAGTCCCCTCTAATTGTAGGATTCTATGATTGATAGATAGATAGATAGATAGATAGATAGATAGATAGATAGATAAGATAGATAGAGAATTGATAGATAGAGATAGGCTAGTCTGGAAGGCCCTTGGGGTCCCCTCTAATTGTAGGATTCTACTTTAGATAAATAGACAGACATAGCAAACTGATAGACAGAGATATATACATAGATATTAATATGAATATGGGGGTTGGTCTGGATGGCCCTTGGGGTCCCACCTAATGGTAAGATTCTATGATAGACAGACAGATAGATACATACATACAAAACATACATTATTGGTGTTGCTCTAGATGGCCCTTGGGGTCCCCCTCTAACTGTAGGATTCTATAATGATAGACATATTCCGGTTTCCTCCAAAATTGGGAAGCAAAGCACCCCTTAATTGAAGGCGAGGGTCCTCTCAGGTAAAATTAAGGGACGAGAGGAAACCACTTTCTTGCCACTAATATTAATGATGATGATGATGATTATTATTATTATTATTACTACTACTACTACTACTACTAGCCGTTCCCTGCCACATGTTGCTGTGGCCCAGTCTGTGTATATGTGTTTTGTGCGTGTGTATATATTTGTGTATATGTGTATTTATGCGGTTATGCTCATACATTGTAATGTAATGTATTTTTACTTTATTTTTGGCTTTTTAAGTGTCTTTTGCTGTTTTTCAGTGTTTTAATGAGTGATGGTCACTCCTTGGCCTGATAAGTGTATTGTGTCCAAATTTGGTGTCAATTCGTCCAGTGCTTTTTGAGTTATGTTAATCCCACAAACGAACATTACATTTTTATTTATATAGACTAGCCATCCCCTGCCACACGTTGCTGTGGCCCACATGGGGGTTCTGTGTGGCAGGTTTGGCCCAATACTAGCGTTGGTGGGGTTCAGAATGCTCTGTGATTGTAGGTGACCTACAAATCCCAGCAACTACAACTCCCAAATGTCAAGATTCTAGTTTCCCCAAACTCCACCAGTGTTCACATTTGGGCATATTGAGTATTTGTGTAGAGTTGGATCCAGATCCTTCATTGTTTTGAGTCCACAGTGCTCTTCGGATGTAGGTGAACTACAACTCCAAAACCAAAGAACACTACCCACCAAACCCTTCCAGTATTTTCTGTTGGTCATAGGAGTTCTGTGTGCCAAGTTTGGTTCAATTCCATCGTTGGTGGGGTTCAGAATGCTCTTTGATTGTAGGTGAACTATAAATCCCAGCAACTACAACCCCCAAATGACAAAATCCTTTTTTTAAAAAATGTGAAGGACATACATTGGGTTGTTAGGTGTCTTGTGTCCAAATTTGGTGCCAATTTGTCCAGTGGTTTTTGAGTTCTGTTAATCCCACAAATGAACATTACATTTTTATTTATATATATATCAGTGGTTCTCAACCTTCCTAATGCCACGACTCCTTAATACAGTTCCTCATGTTGTGGTGACCCCCAACCATAAAATTATTTTCATTGTTACTTCATAAATGTAATTTTGCCACTGTTATGATTCATAATGTGAATATCCGATATGCAGGAAGGATGTATTTTCATTCACTGGACCAAATTTGGCACAACTACCCAATATGCCCAAAATTGAATACTAGTGGGGTTGGAGAAAGGGACTGGTTTTATCATTTGAGAGTTGTACTTGCTGGGATTTATAGTTCATCTACAATCAAAGAGCATTCTGATCTCCACCAATGATGGAACTGAACCAATCTTGGCACACAGGACTCCCATGACCAACAGAAAACACTAGCAGGGTTTGGTGAGCATGGATCTTGAGTTTGGGAGTTGTAGTTCACCTGCATCTGTGGACTCAAACAATGATGAATCAGGACCAAATTTGACACAAATACTCAATATGCCCAAATGTGAACACTAGTGGAGTTTGGGGAAAATAGACCTTGGCATTTGGGAGTTGTAGTTGCTGGGATTTATAGTTCACCTACAATCAAAGAGCATTCAGAACTCCACCAATGATTGAATTGAACCAAACTTTACACACAGAACTCCCATGACTAACAGAAAATACTGGAAGGGTTTGGTAGGCACTGACCTTGAGTTTTGGAGTTTTAGTTCACCTACATCCAGAGAGCACTGTGGACTCAAACAATGATGGATCAGGACCAAACTTGGCAAAATATTCAATTTGCCCAAATCTGAACACTGGTGGAGTTTGGGGAAAATAGACCTTAACATTTGGGAGTTGTAGTTGCTGGGATTTATAGTTCACCTACAATCAAAGAGCATTCTGAACCCCACCAACAATAGAATTGGACCTAACTTTCCACATGTAGCCCAGATGACCAATAGAAAATACTGTGTTTTCTGATGGTCTTTGGCGACCCCTCGGGCACCCTCTCACGACCCCCCCCCCCAGGGGTCCCGACCCCCAGGTTGAGTAACACTGATATAGATAGAAGATTATGATTCCAGTTGTTGTTGTATTGATATCCCTTTGAAACTGGGACCCAAAGCACCCCTTTAATGTGGGGTTAGGGTCTTGAAATATATGGGGAGCCACCCCTTCAGTTCTGTTCCTAAATCCTGGGGGGCTCTCTATGAATCTTATTATTCCTATTGCATTCCTCTCCCAAGCGGCTCTGCGCATGCGCATACCGGCACGCCCCTCCCTGCCGCGGAGGGCCTTCATCAGGCCTCCAAAGCCTGGCTTCCCCGCTCCTGGCTCACCCGGCTGGCGGCGGCCCCGCTCTTCCGTCCCGGCGGCTCTTCCTTCTCCTCCGCTCCCGCCGCTCCTCCTTCTCCGCGTCCTCCGCCGGGCTACAGGCGGCTTCCCATGGCGAGCGGCCGCTTCCCAACTCCAGACCCGCCTCGGCAGCGGGGCGACGCCATCTTGTCCGCCTCTCTCTCCCCCTCCTCAGGCGGGCGGGCAGGCAGGCGAAGGCGGCGTCTTGCGTCATCACGCAAACCACGCCACCCAGAGGGCCAAAGAGGCCCAGTCCACATGCCTGCCAAGCACGACTTCCGGGTTCCCCTTTGCTTCCACTTAGAACAGTGTTTCTCAACCTGAGGGTTGGGACCCCTGTGGGGGTCGCGAGGGGGTGTCAGAGGGGTCACCAAAGACCATCAGAAAACATAGTATTTTCTCTTTGTCATGGGTGTTCTGTGTGGGAAGTTTGACCCAATTCTATCATTGATGGGGTTCAGAATGCTATTTCATTGTGGGTGAACTATGAATCCCAACAACAACAACTCCCAAATGGAAAAGTCTATTTTCTCCAAACTCTACCAGTGTTCACTTTTTGGCATATTGAGTATCTGTGCCAAGTTTGATCCAGATCCACCATTGCGTGACTCCACAGTGCTCTCTGGATATAGGTGAACTACAACTTCCAAACTCAAGGTCAATACCACCAAACCCTTCCAGTGTTTTCCGTTGGTCATGGGAGTTCTGTGTGGCAAATTAGGTTCAAATCCATCATTGATAGAGTTCAGGATGCTCTTTGATTGTAGGTGAACTATAAATCCCAGCAACTACAACTCCCAAATTACAAAATCAATCCTCCCGCAACCCCAGTAGCATTTACATGTGGGTGCATTGGGTATTTGTGCCCAGTTTGGTCCACTGAATGAAAATGCATCTTGCATATCAGATATTTACATTACGATTCCTAACACTAGCAAAATGCCAGCTATGAAGGAGCAACAAAAATAATGTTATGTTTGGGGGTCACCACAACATGAGGAACTGTATTAAGGGGTCAAAGCATTAGGAAGGTTGAGAAAGACTGACTTAGAACCATAGAACTCTAGAGTTGGAAGAAGCCTCATGGACTATCTAGTCGAACCCCCTGCCATGCAGGAAAAGCACAACCAAAAAACCCCGATAGATGGCCATCCAGCCATAATAGTAATAATAATGTTGTAATATTATATATACAATTTATGACATGACAATATATTATATAATACTAATCGTATAATATACAGAGAGTGTTTTACATATATTGTATAATTAGCCATCCCCTGCCACACGTTGCTGTGGCCCAGTCTGTGTATATGTGGTTGTGTGCATATGTGTGTATGTATATTTGTGTATATGTGTATATATGTGTGTATGCGGTTTTGGGCATTTATTTATTTCTATTTTATTTCTCGTGTCAGGGCAGCCAGTCAATTATATTACATTTCTAACAGAAACAAAGCAAACAAACAGACAAAACACAAATTTTGTGAGTTTGGTAGTTGATTAAATGTCCTTTGACCAGTAGCTGGCCACTTGGAGTGCCTCTGGTGTTGCTGCAAGGAGGTCCTCCCTTGTGCATGTGAGTATGGAGAGGAGCAAACCATTGACCACCTGCTGCAATGCAACCTGAGCCCTGCTACATGCACCATGGAGGACTTCCTCCAAGATTGCAAAATCTGTGTGTTTTTTAAAAATCTGATTGTTAATTTGTTCTGTTAGAAATGTAATACAATGGTATGGTTACTGATGACACGATAAATAAATAGTATATAGTATACTATTATGTTATACTCTATTTAATTTCACAGAGCTCAGGCATTGTTGTATTCCAGTGTCAATGCCGACTTTTGTGGAGACGTGGCTGCCAAGGGAGCATAATTGGTCAACATTTTCTAATGTTACACCATTAAGCTGTATTTCTTGCATTGGAGAGGGATTGGCTGGTGACTGCTGGAAGAGCACTTCGGTTTTCTCAATGTTTAATGAAAGGCCAAGCTTCTCATATGCTTCTGTTAAGGTATTTAGAGTGGCTTGTAGGTTTTATTCTGAGTGCGCACAGACTACGTTATCATCAGCATACTGGAGTTCTATAACAGACATTGTTGTGACTTTGGTTTTGGCTTTAAGTCTGCTGAGGTTAAATAGCTTGCTGAGACGAGAGAGAGAGACTATTTCCTTTTTAAAAAAAACTCTTTGCTGCCTTACACTGATTCAGTTTCTTCTTTTATAATGGCTGGGACTTTCTGTGTGCTTTCAAACCTTTGTACTTTATTTCACAGGCAATTAGACACTCTTCTGTATAACGAAGTAACACAGTTTATTTATAACTTCTGGCTCCAACGCTTGTGGTTACATTTGTATTTTGTTGCAATCTTGAGGCTTACAGTCAGTATCATTTACTTGGTTAACTTTTCTGAATAAACTATCAATGTTTCACATTCACAAACATGTTACTTGCTTTACACACTCTTGGCTGAATTATATTCTGAACTAAGGCAACACTAGCCTTCTTTAGGTTCCTTAAAACTCGAGCTCTATTTAACTAACTGCTCCACTATATCAGAAGTCTTTAACACATCTTCATAACTGCTTATTTCTATCAGGCACTCAAAAACCAACTCTCCTCTTCACACACAGATTCCTCACTGTCATTTTTTAAACTCCCTCACTCTAGCTGCTTCTTTCCGAACCTTGGCTCTGCCCCTTTGGAATGTTCAGCTCTGCTCTCATTTCGGCCTAGCAGCCTTTTCAAATCCTGGGCCTACACTAATCTGCATGTGACCAATCGGCTTCACATATGCAAATGAATCCTATCTCTGCTGTTGCTACCCTGTCTGTGCCTATTCTTCCCTATCTGCCATATGTAAACATAGAGCTATACACCAAAACTTTAATATAGAATAGCAATTTCACTACACTTGCCATCTGTCCAACAGATTATTTCTACGCGAATGGGAAGCTTCCCATAGTACGTTGCAGTATCATAGTGATGAAGATGGAGAATAAGGTTGGGGCAATAACACATCTCTGTTTGAAACCTGACTCCACTTTAAATGGGTCATTTTGGGAACTATTACTGCCCAAGACTGTTGCCATCATGTCATTGTGGAGGAGCCGCAGGATATTAACAAATTTGTCAGGACATCAGATTTTTTGGGGAATGGTCCAGAGAGTGCTGCGATTAACTGTGTCAAATGCCTTTGCAAGGACAATGAGTAATAATAATGATAATGATTATTATTATTATTATTATTATTATTATTATTATTATTATTATTTATATACTGTCCTATTGTTGTTGAGCACTGACCCCTCCCCTTCCCAGGTCAAATTAATAAAATTGGAACTGTGGTGGAGAGACCAGTGGGAGCCTGAAGTCCCAACAAGAGGAGCGGAGGAGCCTTGCAGCAGCTACCAAATGACATTGATCACCTGGATCTCCTCCCCAATACTGGGAGGTCCTGGCCCACTTTCCCAGGGACAAATTCCATAACCACATCACTTTGGACAATACCCTGACATGGACTACAAGGGACACGGGCATGAGGTCGAGGAGGAATTTAAAAGGGTCTTGCCCTGAAGGAGAGACCCCTCGGACCCACCAAATAGGGCTCGCTACTTTGGTGAGCAAAAGAAAGGAGAAGCCGCAATTAAAAGATTTCCCTAAGTTCCCAAAAGAATCTCACCAAAGCTCAAGGAAGTGCCACTGAATTGATTTTATTGCGATCCAGCTGGAAAAGATGCAAAGCCGCAATAATTCGTCAAGCAAAACATTCCATGTACACAAAATAAAGCCTTTTTAATACAAAAACAGAGCTGTCAGGTTTGAATTTCCCGCTCCCCGCCCCTCTGCCAGCTCGGCGATGATTGGCTGGTGCTCTACAGCTGGGAGGAGGCTTGGCTGCCTCCTGAGCGCCTTGGCCAATCGCTGAGCTTCTGCTGCCTCGGCTTGCTGATCAATCAGGAGAGAGGGAGGCGGGATGAGACGGAAACAATTAATTCTTGAGTGGATTATGGAGATATGTAGTGTCCAAATGGCCGACGAGTCCTCAGGGGTCCTTCTAGCCAGCCAGCCTATTGTCTTTGAGTGGTGGCAATAAACGTTGAATGAAGTCTGGCAAGCCTGCCAAAATCCGGATTTTCCTGCTGCTGAGATATGGGAACAATGAGGCAATATTGGCTGAAGTTTCGGTGGAGGAAGGTTTGAATGAGTAAACAGATCAGGACAAAGTGTGGCTTTCCGAAGGCCCTTTGTCCTGTGGAGATATGATTATCAATGCCAAGCAGGCACCATCCGACTGAGCCCCAGGGTTGCTGCCCATTGTATTGTTCATGCAAATAAGTCTTGATAGGTTCTTTTCAATCAGGTGATTTCCTCCTTCCCAAGGTCACCCAGGGGGCTTCTTATATTTGTATACATTTTTTATAAAAGGGAATAGGGCAGAAGGGTCATGTAATAATCAAATATACAGGGAGAAATATAGAAATCATAGTGTAGAAAGCATACCCACTTATCCTTCCCACCAGAGTCCCATAGAGAAATTGATAAGAGCCTTGATCATGGCTCAGTACGTGTCCCTAGTTCATAATATTTATCTGGAAGTCCATAGAGGGAAATATGTCCATAAGGGGAAAGAGAGTCCAGAATCACTGGCTTGCTGTAAGTTTTTCGGGCTGTATGGCCGTGTTCTAGAAGCATTCTCTCCTAAATCTATGGCAAGCATCCTCAGAAGGTTGTGCGGTCTGTTGGAAACAAAGAAAATGGGGTTTATAAACAGGGGAACTCCAGACAAGAAACAATCAGGGACAGTTAATCACCTCTCAACAAAGGAGTCCCCCAGGCAGTAAGAAGCCAGACCTTGAAAACTGCTAGGAAGAGAAGGGAAGGCAGGCTGTTTTCAACCTCCCTTTTCTGGGCAGGGTGCTGGAGCAGGTAGTCGCCTCCCAGCTCCAGGGTTTTCTAGATGACATCAATTACCTGGATCAGTCACAGTCTGGTTTCAGGCCTGGCCACGGCACCGAGACAGCCTTGCTCGCCTTGGTGGATGACCTCCGTAGAGAGCTGGACAGGGGGAGTGTGACTCTGTTGGTCCTCTTGGACATCTCAGCAGCTTTCGATACCATCGATCATGGTATCCTTCTGGGACGGCTCTCTGGGATGGGTCTTGGGGGCACGGTTTTGTCCTGGCTCCGATCCTTCTTGGAGGGCCAATCCCAGATGGTGAAGTTAGGAGATGCCTGCTCGGACCCTTGGCCTTTGACCTATGGGGTCCCGCAAGGCTCTATTTTATCTCCCATGCTTTTTAACATCTACATGAAACTGCTGGGAGGCGTCCAGGAGGGTTTTTGCACAATTGAGACTCGTGCGCCAACTGCGACCTTACCTTGTAAAGACTGATCTGGCCGGGGTGGTCCATGCCTTGGTTACCTCTAGACTGGACTACTGTAATGCACTCTACGTGGGGCTGCCCTTGAAAACGGCTCGGAAATTTCAGCTAGTCCAACGGGCGGCGGCCAGGAAGTTAACTGGTGCTCCTTACAGAGAGAGGTCAACCCTCCTGTTTAAGGAGCTCCACTGGCTGCCGTTCATTTTCCGGTCCCAATTCAAGGTGCAGGTGCTCACCTACAAAGCCCTAAACGGTTTGGGACCTGCCTACCTGCGTGACCGCATCTCCATTTATGAACCCACGCGCTCACTTCGTTCATCTGGAGAGGCCCTGCTCACGATTCCACCTGCGTTGCAAGCGAGGCTGGTGGGGACGAGGGACAGGGCCTTCCCTGTGGTAGATCCCCGACTCTGGAACTCCCTTCCCAAGGACATCAGACAAGCCCCTATGCTGGCAGTCTTTAGGAAGAGCTTGAAGACCTGGATAGTCCGGCGTGCCTCTCCAGATAGGAAACTCCAGCAACACGTCCCAGAAGCACTTTATTAGAGATTTTAAGATTGTCCGCACACTGCACTTACCCAAACATCCTTATATTTCATTTGGCGTACTCAGCACTTTTTAATCTGTACCCATAACAGTTGGCCCAGCCTTAGTTTTATTGTGCTATGTGTACTGTTTTTACTGTTATTGCTTTCATGTTTTGATTTGTTTTATGGTTTATGTGTATCTGTTATTTTGTTGTTTTATTGAGGCCTTGGCCTTTGTAAGCCGCATCGAGTCCTTCGGGAGATGCTAGCGGGGTACAAATAAAGTTAATAAATAAGTAAATAAATAATAGGGCATCAAATGCTAATCAAGATGGCCTATGGCCCCATTCCCCCTTGCCTCCAACAGAGAAGAGTTCTTTCTCCCAACCTGGACATCATTCCACAGATACATAAACCCCATTTTCCTAGTTTCCAACAGACCTCACAATCTCTGAGGATGCCTGCCATAGATGTAGGCGAAACATCAGGAGAGAATGCTTTTCAACGTCTTTATTAATGACTTAGATGAAGGGTTAAAAGGCATGATCATCAAGTTTGCAGACGACACCAAATAGGGAGGGATAGCCAGCCAACACTCCAGAGGACAGGAGCAGGATTCAAAACTATCTTGACAGATTAGAGAGATGATGGGCCAAAACTAACACAATGAAGTTCAACAGTGACAAATGCAAGATACTCCACTTTGTCAGGAAAAACAAAATGCAAAGATACACAATGGGGGACGATGCCTGGCTCGAGAGAAGTACGTATTGAAAAAGATCTTGGAGTCCTCGTGGACAACAAGTTAAACATGAGCCAACAATGTGATGTGGCGGCAAAAAAAGCCAATGGGATTTTGGCCTGTATCAATAGGAGCATAGTGTCTAGATCTAGGGAAGTAATGCTACCCCTCTATTCTGCTTTGGTTAGACCACACCTGGAATATTGTGTCCAATTCTGGGCACCACAATTCAAGAGAGATATTGACAAGCTGGAATGTGTCCAGAGGAGGGCGACTAAAATGATCAAGGGTCTGGAGAACAAGCCCTATGAGGAGCGGCTTAAGGAGCTGGGCATGTTTAGCCTGAAGAAGAGAAGGCTGAGAGGAGACAGGATAGCCATGTATAAATATGTGAGAGGAAGCCACAGGGGAGGGAGCAAGCTTCCTTTCTGCTTCCCTGGAGACTAGGATGCAATGGAGCCATGGCTTCAAACTACAAGAGAGGAGATTTCATCTGAACCTGAGGAAGAACTTCCTGACTGTGAGAGCCGTTCAACAGTGGAACTCTCTGCCCCGGAGTGTGGTGGAGGCTCCTTCTTTGGAGGCTTTTAAACAGAGGCTGGGTGGCCATCTGTCAGAAGCAATATTCCTGCTTCTTGGCAGAATGGGGTTGGACTGGATGGCCCAGGAGGTCTCTTCCAACTCTTTGATTCTTGGATTCTACAAGAAAGGAGATTCCATCTGAACATTGGTAAGAACTTCCTGACTGTGAGAGCTGTTCAGCAGTGGAACTCTCTGCCCCGAGTGTGGTGGAGGCTCCTTCTTTGGAGGCTTTTAAACAGAGGCTGGGTGGCCATCTGTCAGAAGCAATATTCCTGCTTCTTGGCAGAATGGGGTTGGACTGGATGGCCCAGGAGGTCTCTTCCAACTCTTTGATTCTATGATTCTACAAGAGAGGAGATTCCATCTGAACATTGGTAAGAACTTCCTGACTGTGAGAGCCGTTCAACAGTGGAACTCTCTGCCCCGAGTGTGGTGGAGGCTCCTTCTTTGGAGGCTTTTAAACAGAGGCTGGGTGGCCATCTGTCAGAAGCAATATTCCTGCTTCTTGGCAGAATGGGGTTGGACTGGATGGCCCAGGAGGTCTCTTCCAACTCTTTGATTCTATGATTCTACAAGAGAGGAGATTCCATCTGAACATTGGTAAGAACTTCCTGACTGTGAGAGCTGTTCAGCAGTGGAACTCTCTGCCCCGAGTGTGGTGGAGGCTCCTACTTTGGAAGCTTTTAAACAGAGGCTGGATGACCATCTGTCAGGGGTGATTTGAATGCAATATTCCTGCTTCTTGGCAGAATGGGGTTGGACTGGATGGTCCAGGAGGTCTCTTCCAACTCTTTGATTCTATGATTCTAGAACATGGCCTGGGAGTTGTTTCCTCCAAGAGTGGAGGCTGCGGTTCCGCAGAGGCCCTGCAGGGGGCGCGGATCACGCGCTTTTGCCACGGAGGCTGACTTCCGGGTTGGCCTCTTCGGGTCGCCTAGCAACGCCCACTACTGCGCTGGGCCTGCGTCGCGTGCGCGAGGGAGGGAGGGGATGCCGTAAAGTGCGGGCGCCGTAGAAGCGGCCCGACGGTGTGGCAAAATGTCGTGAAAGGGGCCTGTTGTGAGGAAGACAGTCGGCGAGGAGGAGAAGGAGAAGGACGGGCAAGGAGGAAGGAAGAGAAGGGAAGGGAAGGCAGGCAGGCAGGCCCATGCTCGGAGGGAGTCTCGGGGCGGCGAGGGCCCTTCCCGGCTGCCGCCCTCCCCCTATGCGGCGCCCCCTCCGCCGCCATGGCCCGCAAGACAGCTAGCAGGAAGCGCAGGGCCACCGCCACCGCCGCCGAAGGGGGCCGCCACCACGACCACGACCAGGCCGGGAGGCAGGTAGGCCGCGGCCGAGGAGGAGGGGGAGGAGGGGAAGGCATGGGATAATGTTATTACCCCATGGCTTCATCATCATCATCATCATATAATAATAATAGTATTCATTGACAACAATAACATACAATAATATAATATAATGCACAATATAACAATAATATCCTTGGTCTTAATTGCCGTATAATATATAATATAATAATAGTACAGTATATAGTAGAATAACAATATAATATGTAACATAATATCCATTGACTTAATAATAATATACAAAATACTAATATTATTATTATTATAATATAATGTACAATATAACAATAATAATATCCTTGGTCTTAATTGTCATATAATATATAATATAAAGCCTTAATAATTATATAATATATAATATAATAATAGTACAGTGTTTAGTAGGGTAACAGTATAATATATAACATAATAATATTCATTGACTTAATAATATACAAAATATTAATAATATTATAATAATATAATGTACAATACAACAATAATATCCTTGGTCTTAATTGCCGTATAATATATAATATAATAATAGTACAGTATATAGTAGAATAACAATATAATATGTAACATAATATCCATTGACTTAATAATAATATACAAAATACTAATATTATTATTATTATAATATAATGTACAATATAACAATAATAATATCCTTGGTCTTAATTGTCATATAATATATAATATAAAGCCTTAATAATTATATAATATATAATATAATAATAGTACAGTGTTTAGTAGGGTAACAGTATAATATATAACATAATAATATTCATTGACTTAATAATATACAAAATATTAATAATATTATAATAATATAATGTACAATACAACAATAATATCCTTGGTCTTAATTGCCGTATAATATATAATATAATAATAGTACAGTATATAGTAGAATAACAATATAATATGTAACATAATATCCATTGACTTAATAATAATATACAAAATACTAATATTATTATTATTATAATATAATGTACAATATAACAATAATAATATCCTTGGTCTTAATTGTCATATAATATATAATATAAAGCCTTAATAATTATATAATATATAATATAATAATAGTACAGTGTTTAGTAGGGTAACAGTATAATATATAACATAATAATATTCATTGACTTAATAATATACAAAATATTAATAATATTATAATAATATAATGTACAATATAACAATAATATCCTTGGTCTTAATTGCCGTATAATATATAATATAATAATAGTACAGTATATAGTAGAATAACAATATAATATGTAACATAATACAATATATAATATATATTATATTATATTATGTTACATATTATATTGTTATTCTACTATATACTGTACTTCTTGGGAGGAGAGCAATGTCCAATCTCGATAAAATAGTGAGAGTAGAGACATCAGACTGGCAACAAAGATCCATTGCCTAGTCAAAGCCATGGTATTCCCTGTAGTAACCTACGGATGTGAGAGCTGGACCTTAGGGAAGGCTGAGCAAAGGAAGAGAGATGCTTTTGAGCTGTGGTGCTGGAGGAAAGTGCTGAGAGTGCCTTGGACTGCGAGAAGATCCAACCAGTCCATCCCCCAGGAAATAAAGCCCGACTGCTCATTGGAGGGAAGGAGACTAGAGACAAAGTTGGAGTACTTTGGCCACATCATGAGGAGACAGCAAAGCCTAGAGAAGACAATTATGCTGGGGAAAGTGGAAGGGAAAAGGAAGAGGGGCCAACCAAGGGCAAGATGGATGGATGGCATCCTTGAAGTGACTGGACTGACCTTGAAGGAGCTGGGGGTGGTGACGGCCGACAGGGAGCTCTGGCATGGGCTGGTCCATGAGGTCACGAAGAGTCGGAGACGACTGAACAAATGAACAACAACAACAATAATATAATATAATAGTACAGTATATAGTAGAATAACAATATAATATGTAACATAATATCCATTGACTTAATAATAATATACAAAATATTATTATTATTATTATTATTATAATATAATGTACAATATAACAATAATAATATCCTTGGTCTTAATTGTCATATAATATATAATATAAAGCCTTAATAATTATATTATATATAATATAATAATAGTACAGTGTTTAGTAGGGTAACAGTATAATATATAACATAATAATATTCATTGACTTAATAATATACAAAATATTAATAATATTATAATAATATAATGTACAATATAACAATAATATCCTTGGTCTTAATTGCCGTATAATATATAATATAATAATAGTACAGTATATAGTAGAATAACAATATAATATGTAACATAATACAATATATAATATATATTATATTATATTATGTTACATATTATATTGTTATTCTACTATATACTGTACTATAATATATAATATAATATAATATCTCGATAAAATAGTGAAGAGTAGAGACATCAGACTGGCAACAAAGATCCATTGCCTAGTCAAAGCTATGGTCTTCCCTGTAGTCACCTACGGATGTGAGAGCTGGACCTGAGGGAAGGCTGAGCGAAGGAAGAGAGATGCTTTTGAGCTGTGGTGCTGGAGGAAAGTGCTGAGAGTGCCTTGGACTGCAAGAAGATCCAACCAGTCCATCCCCCAGGAAATAAAGCCCGACTGCTCATTGGAGGGAAGGAGACTAGAGACAAAGTTGGAGTACTTTGGCCACATCATGAGGAGACAGCAAAGCCTAGAGAAGACAATTATGCTGGGGAAAGTGGAAGGGAAAAGGAAGAGGGGCCGACCAAGGGCAAGATGGATGGATGGCATCCTTGAAGTGACTGGACTGACCTTGAAGGAGCTGGGGGTGGTGACGGCCGACAGGGAGCTCTGGCATGGGCTGGTCCATGAGGTCACGAAGAGTCGGAGACGACTGAACGAATGAACAACAACAACAATAATATAGTATAATAGTACAGTATATAGTAGAATAACAATATAATATGTAACATAATATCCATTGACTTAATAATAATATACAAAATACTAATATTATTATTATTATAATATAATGTACAATATAACAATAATAATATCCTTGGTCTTAATTGTCATATAATATATAATATAAAGCCTTAATAATTATATAATATATAATATAATAATAGTACAGTGTTTAGTAGGGTAACAGTATAATATATAACATAATAATATTCATTGACTTAATAATATACAAAATATTAATAATATTATAATATAATGTACAATATAACAATAATATCCTTGGTCTTAATTGTCGTATAATATATAATATAATAATAGTACAGTATATAGTAGAATAACAATATAATATGTAACATAATATCCATTGACTTAATAATAATATACAAAATACTAATATTATTATTATAATAATATAATGTTCAATATAACAATAATATCCTTGGTCTTAATTGTCGTATAATATATAATGTAAAGTCTTAATAATTATATACTATACAATATAATATAATCATAGTACAGTGCATAGTAGGGTAATAATATAATGCACAATATAACAATAATACCCTCTGCCTTAATTATCATATAATGTATAATATGGGTTGTTGTAGGTTTTTTCGGGCTGTATGGCCATATTCTAGAGGCATTCTCTCTTGACGTTTCGCCTGCATCTATGGCAAGCATCCTCAGAGGTAGTGAGGTCTGTTGGAACTAGGAAAAGGGGTTTATATATCTGTGGAATGACCAGGGTGGGACAAAGGACTCTTGTCTGCTGGAGCTAGGTGGGAATGTTTCAACTGACCACCTTGATTAGCATACAATGGGCTGTATGCCCACCGAGGGGGGCTGCCACCAGGACCACGACCAGGCCGGTAGGGAAAGGCCCCTTGGCTCGGCACCAAAACAACCCTGTTATTACCCCATATGGCTTCATCATCATCATATAATAATAATAATAATAATAATAATAATAATAATATCCATTGACTTAACAATAACATACAATAATATAATATAATGCACAATATAACAATAATACCCTTTCTCTTAATTATCATATAATGTATAATGTGGGTTGTTGTAGTTTTTTTCGGGCTGTATGGCCATGGTCTAGAGGCATTCTCTCCTGACGTTTCGCCTGCATCTATGGCAAACATCCTCAGAGGTAGTGAGGTCTGTTGGAAGTAGGAAAATTGGGTTTATATATCTGTGGAAAGACCAGGGTGAGACAAAGGACTCTTGTCTGCTGGAGATAGGTGTGAATGTTTCAACTGACCACCTTGATTAGCACTCAGTGGTTTGGAAGTGCCTGGGGGGAATCTTTTGTTGAGAGTGATTTGATGTGCCTGAAATTATAAATGGTGTCTAGAAATTACACTTCCCAAGATATAATTACTAAAAGCCTATATGCGGATGCATTGGTTTTGACCTATTTAACTATGGGTCCTGTTTTGTTTACTGAGAAAAAAAAATCTCAACTGAATGTCTCAACTGACCACCTTGATTAGCATACAATGGGCTGACTGTGCCTGGAGCTAACTTTTCTTGAGAGGTGATTAAATGTCATAGAATCAAAGAGTTGGAAGAGACCTCATGGGCCATCCAGTCCAACCTCCTGCCAAGAAGCAGGAATGTTGCATTCAAATCACCCCTGACAGATGGCCATCCAGCCTCTGCTTCCAAAGAAGGAGCCTCCAGCTCACTCCGGGGCAGAGAGTTCCACTGCTGAATGGCTCTCACAGTCAGGAAGTTCTTCCTCATGTTCAGATGGAATCTCCTCTCTTGTAGTTTGAAGCCATTGTTCCATTGCGTCCTAGTCTCCAAGGAAACAGAAAACAAGCTTGCTCCCTCCTCCCTGTGGCTTCCTCTCACATATTTATACATGGCTATCATATCTCCTCTCATCCTTCTCTTCGTCAGGCTAAACATGCCCAGCTCCTTAAGCCGCTCCTCATAGGGCTTGTTATCCCATATGGCTTCATCATAATATAATAATAATAATAGTATCCTTTGACTTAACAATAATATACAATAATATAATATAA